TATTTTCCTTAGCTTTTTCATCTTGTTGGTTCTTTCCTTGTTATTCTTGTTTTGTTTGTATATGGGTTAAGTACCCCTTATACTTAAGTTAATACAATCTCCCTTGCTTATAAAAAACAAAGAAAATATTTAAAATATTGATGTCAAATTGGGATGAAATGAAATTTTCAAAACGAAAAAAGTTAAATTGAATACCAATTAACAATTTAAACGTGATAAAAATTTATTTATTTAAAATAGACCAAAATTATATTTAAAAGAAAATACCTTGAAACTTTCCTCTCTTTAAAAATTATTTTATGTGTCATTTCTCTAATAATTCGATCGGGCTCATTTTCTTCTTGAATCTAAACAATCGCCATTAATGTAGTCTCCAGTTTTGATGGTGTGACGCCCCTCAGGCCTTTCTACCCTTAACCTTTGATGGGGTTCGAGAGTTGCAGCGTTGCATATGTGGCCTATTTGTAAACTAATATATGTCTCTAACAAAGCCGAATCATTGGCAACCAATGGTTCAGTCCAAATGATGGTGGGTTCTTTTTCTTTTTGTTTGTTCTCTTTTTCTCGTTATGATTTCATTTCAACGACAGTTGGCCTGACCGATTTTAGGTCTTAATTATCGCTTTTGGTTGGGTTCATTGGAAAAAAATATGGGTGGGTTCTTCTTAACATCATTATCTTTTTGATATGGTTTTGGGATTTTGATATGATTACACTTTTGTTTCTTTAATTTATGGTTGGATACATATATTTTTATTGGTTTGAGTGGTTCTTTTGATCCATATATTATTTTTGTTCTTTAATCAAAGTCAATTATGATTGACTAACACAAAACTATTCTCAATGATCTGATTTCAGTGTTCATCAGCTCATAAACTGTTTATTTAATAATCATTTTATGTTTATGATGAAATTGGTGTCAATTAACAAAATCTAAAATTGAGAAGCCCTAACATGATTATATTGAAATCCATAGTTACATTGCTATGTATATCATTCCATCAAATATAATTTGTAGTGGTTAATCTTAAAATTGTCATCTTATATTCATAATGATTGCCTCATTATAGATGTAAGTAGCCATGAAGCATATAGATTTCAAAATAATAAACCATTATTTCACATGTTTCTTAGGCGCCAAAAAACCAAATAAAAATTGTTAAAAGCAAAAACCACATGCTTGGAATCTTTTTCCAACAAAACTTTGGTCAATTCTAAGAAAAAGCATGCTTCAATATTAAGATAACTCTCATAAATTCAGCAAGCAAAACAATTTCAGACTCTAGATTACAAGCAAAATTGATTAGGTGATTTTTTATGTGATCCCTAAAAGGGAGTCATTCACGTTTAAGTTTTTAATAAGTTTATTATCAACAAAAAAAAAAATTAAATATATTAAATTTATAATATTGTTAGTATAAATTTTACACATGTATATATAGAAATTTTATTACAAAAATTAAATATATTAAATTTATAATATTGTTAGTATAAATTTTACACATGTATATATAGAAATTTTATTACAAAAATTAAATATATTAAATTTATAATATTGTTAGTATAAATTTTACACATGTATATATAGAAATTTTATTACAAGGATGATTTGTTAACATTGTAAAAAACTGGTAAGTAACTCATAACAATTAAGACGAAACTTCAGAATTCAAATACATCAAAAAGTTTAATGTATGGTACATAAAAAAAATGCCAATCAAAATAAATGTTCTAAAAATATACAATAGTTTGACAAAAATGAAAGTAAGACCACAACAAGTCAGAAGAAAATAAAATACAAGAACACAGTAACTTGTTTATCTAATTTGATCAAACAATTTACTCTAGTAGGAGAACAGCTCTCTGGTTCACTATACTTTTAAGAATTGCCACAAAAAAATCCTACTTCTACCCAAGTATTTTTGAATCTCTCAAATTCTCAATTTATGAATCACACAAAACTAAAATATTTAGAAGTATTCCTCAATCCCCTTAGATACCACCAAAAATATCTCAAATTCTCTAATATCTTTTTCTATCTTTTATTCATTTATAATATTATAAATTTCTTATAATATCTTTTATATTCATTTAGAATATTATAAATATCTTATAAGGTCTTTTATATTAATCTAGAGTATCTCTTAGTATCTTAGAGTATCTCTAAATTAATATAAAATATATTTATAATATTCTAACATTAATGAACGGAGACGCAAATCGGATCTTCCAAACTCGATATTTGAGAATCGCTCGCCAACAAATTTTTAACTTTTTGATTTCTGGAAATTTTGAAACATATTTTATTTATATTCATCACTCAAAGGTTTTAAGGCATACTTCTACAATCTCCACCTTGATTTGAAATTGCGATAATGTAAATTTAACCATCAACCACCTTATTGCTCTCTACCATATTGGATCTTTATTCAACAACCTTGATCAAATTCAAGTCGCACTTGAACCTTGACCTTTCCAAGTGTATCCTCTTGCTTCTAATCACCTTTTTCTACTTAGGTAATCTAACAAGTCCAGAAGCATGGTTCTTCAACCATATTTGAATCTCCTTACTTTCTAATGTCTCCTTGAAGGTCCACGTGCTGATTTTTTCATGCCTTCAGCCATATTTATAGCATAACATCCAAAGCCCGCATAACCGTTCCTTTGAGATGGTACAATCTTTCTCTTTATTTTATCACAAGTCAAATGATAATCAAAGACCTTTGTAATCGCTATCTAACTAATATTAATATCAGTGATAAGAACCTCCACCTCAAACTGAGTCTTTTCCACCATAGTTTCTAAATGTTTCACCCCCGAGAATTTACTCATTGAAAATAATACATTTGTGATTGACGAACTTCGACCTTTCAAGTTCCATTCCCAATAACTTATTACCTTCCTTTCTCTTAGATAGTCATTGAAGACACAATCCATAATTTTACCATCAAACTAATTCAGATGTTGTTCAATAAGCATAGTTTTAACGTCCTTCGAATACAAGTAGTTTTAGATTTCCTACTACAAACATGCATAGGTGTTTGGAAGTTTATTCCTCTAAATGAACATATGTCGATCAAATAAGTTGTTTTGGCACCAGTTTTACCCCATAAAATTAATGACAACTCAGTGGTTAAATGCTTATTTATCCATTGTCATTTGCAAAACTCATTAAAGTTCTTTAAAATAACCTTTAGGAATTCACCATGTCTTGACCTCAAAACTCACAACTTTTTCTTGTTAACCGATAGTGTCGAAGAAATCATTAAAAAGATCGTCTCCACGAGCATTATAATTTAACAAGATAATTATGCAAGAATTTAAGTAATTAAATGGGGGGTTCATTAGAAAATTGATTTTAAAACAAGAACTATAAAACTAAAAGAATTAACTTCAAGGTGAGAAAAACGATTAGGTCTTCTATTGAATCCCCTTATTTTTAACTGTTGATGAATTGTGGTTTTAATTACATTATTATCTCACTGCGAATTAATAAGACGGCTGCACCCGGTTTCTTGGTGTGCAGCTAACTAATTTATATAATAATTTCCTAATTTCTTAGACTGATTCAAATTCAAATTATGTGTTCTAAGTGCGTTAATTCAAAATTAATGACTTCTAATTATCTATCCCTATTTAATTACAAAGTCAAATAAATTGCCCTAGATCATATAAGTAGACTAACGATTATAAATCCCTACACATCTAAAAAACAAGGTTTATCTAAAAACATTCATAATCTAGAGAAATTTAACTACTCATTGATAAATAAACAAATATCATCATTTGATAAGTATTCACCATCAAAATCTATGGAAGAATTGCCCTCCAGTGCGCCCCAAATTTTCCACTTAAGTATCCCTAACCGTCACTTTATATCTAAGTTTCATAATCCCCTAAAAAGTATCACCAAACAACCATTTAAAAAGAAAATTAAATGTCAGCCAAAAGGCAGTCATTGCGCCACGACAAGTGATAATCACGCCACGATGCAAGCCTGGTCGTGCCGTGATGGAATGCATTTCGGGCACGAGAATTCCAGAAAAAAAATCATTTGTTTTCTTCACAAATTTCACTAAGTTTATGTTTCTTCCTTGCATTGGCTTTTTTTCTCAATTCTTCACACTTTTATATGGCTTTTGGTCATTATTAATATGAATTCATCAAAATTTCCTCATAAAAATCATGTGATGACAACTGCCATCACAACCCCAAATTTAAATTGTTGCTTGTCCTCAAGTAACTTGTGTATACACTGAACATTTCATCAAAATTAAAATTCTTACACTTACAAATGAATTTCACCTTTATTTTTTTTTCTGATCAACACTTTGGTTCCCTCCTCCAATCCAATCAACTCGGAAAAGTTATTTTGACATACAATTACTCAACCAGTCTCTCATCTCACAATTATGCACTCAATTTGACAGGCTAATCACTTAGTTAACATACAAATGCATTTATTAATGAATTTGAAAATTTTCTAATCGAATCAATCAAAGTCATATTTAAACACACACTTTTGAGGTATTTTACAAGTTGTAACATGGCTTATGTCTTGGTAGGATAACTTAGGATAATAGGCTTAAACCTTTGAAGTTAGGTACCTAGTTGTCCCGATGTTATCGAATTCCTTCCATCCCACTCTTTTATACTTCACTTGGTACTAGATAATTGCATCTTATTGGTCCTATGTTTTTCATAATTTTTTTGAAGAAGCTATTTTATATTATTATTTTTATTTATTTTTATTTTTATTTTTTACCAACTTCTCTAGTACCCCAACCCCAAACTTATTCGTTGCTAACTTTCAAGAGCAACCCCAAACTTATTCTTTTGAATCAGATAAGGAAAAACAATTATTTCTACCTAACTCCAAAGAGGGTAGAAAAAAATTATCTTTCAAGTCAATGGCTATATAATAAGGGTTATGTCACTGAAAGAAGGAATAAGTCTCAAAGTGGTCTCTTAAACAAATATCATTAACTACAAAAGTTGCGATGAAGAAAGGACGAGGGTGGCCAAAAACCACGGTGCCACCGTCATCACCACCGGAATCGCTATCCAGCTTGAAAACCCCTCAGAGTGATTCTAGAACTACAACACCACCGAACCCTAGCTCGAAGACGCCTGAGACTGGAGCAAAAATAGATAAAGAGATGGAAGCCACACTCGGGAATGCAATCAAAGAAACCCCAGCAGAAGTGACAAAAACATAACCGGAGGAACGGAAACTATAGGTGGATATTATAAACGACAACCGGAACACTGCCAAAGGACTGACAATGGAATATGTTGCGCCAAAAGTAGTCAACAGGACGATTGGAATTGATATTGAACAAGAAGACATCGAAACGGAAATACGGTTTTGGGATAATGCCCTAATTCTTTATGTTGTAAGAGATGATTTGAGTATGAACACAGTGAAGAACTTTATGCAGAGAACATGGAACTTCGTGAAAATATCAGATCTTTATTATCATGATGACGGTTATTTCCTGCTCAGATTCAACTCCCAAAAAGACAAGGAAACAATGATGATGAAAGGACCTTATACGATTCGACATATACCAATGATTATGAAGGAATGGCATCCTGGGTTCAATCTAAAGAGGGACCTGCTAAGAACTCTACCAATATGGGTGAAACTTCCCCAACTCCCTCTGCACCTATAGGGGGCAAAAAGTCTGAGCAAGATTGGAAGCGTCATTGGAAAACCCTTCGTGACTGATGAATGTACAGCAAACAAGCTCCGTGTATCATATGCAAGGCTCCTGATTGAAGTGGATATTACACATCAATTGATTGATGAAATAGCCATCAGAAATGTTGAGGGAGATGTTATAATGCAACCTGTGAAGTACGAATGGAGACCAACTTTCTGCGAAACATGTCAAAAAATGGGGCACAAATGTGAAGACCGTCGGCAGACTCAACAATGGAAACCAAAACCCAAGCCACCAGAAACATCCAAGAACACCACACCCTCAAAACAACCAGGAAAAGAGGAAGCAACAGGGCAAGCAGATGAAACATGGACAAGAGTGACAAAAACTTTACGAGATAAAGGTAAGAGCATCATGCTTGATAAGAATAACAACATCAACTGTAACAATGGTTTTGAAGCTCTTGAGGTTATGAATGACCATCAAGGGATAATAAACCTTGAACCATGTTAGTCTTGTGGAACATAAGGGGACTCAATAATGTAGGTAAAATTCGTGAGATTAGGTCCCGTTTCCAAGAGCTAAAGCCTGCTATTATCATACTAATTTAAACTAGAGTTAAAGAAGCAAAAGCCAAGGTCGTTCATGAGAAACTGATGATATACGACAAGCACATTGATAACTACAAAGACCATACCAATGGTAGAATTTGGATCCACTGGGATTGCAACAGGGTAGAGGTGAGACTCATTCAAAGTAGCAGCCAGTTTATACACTGTGGTGTATATGATAATTGTGGAGGATCCAAATATTGGTTAACTGCTGTATATGCTCATAACCAACTCAACAAGAGAAGAAGCCTTTTGAAGGACATAAAACATCTTTCTATTAATATCCAAGGTCCCTGGTGTGCTGTGGGAGACTACAACAATGTAACCAAAGCCCAGGACAGATTGGGAGGTAATCTAGTTACTGAAAAGGAATATGAAGACCTGATTAAAATGATGTGGAATACAGGTTTGAGTGAAATGGACAGCATTGGGGATCATTTCACATGGTCCAATAAACAAGCTGCTGGACCCATCTACTCTAGGATTGACAGAGTCCTAGGTAATACTGAGTGGTTTCTAAACAATATGGAGACTATACTGAAAATTCTCCCACCTAACATTTCTGACCATGTCGTGCTTTATCTGGAGGAAAAACAAGAACAGAGGAAACCATCCAAACACTTCAAATTTAGCAACTACCTCACTGATCTTCCAGGCTATGATACTGTGATAAAGGAAAGTTGGGATACTCATATCAGGGGCAGCCCAATGTATGTCTTTTGGCACAAACTCAAGAGACTACAACATGAGTTAAAGTAGTTCAGCAAACCACTGTTTGATATTAACAGGAAGCTGATAGCAGCTAGAGCAAACCTAAAAGAAACACAAGGAAAACTGACTGAGGACAGACTGAACATCACTTTGGTTGAAGAGGCTAAGAAGCTGACTGAGGAAGTGATTTCCATGAATGAGTTGGAATGGAAAATCCTACAACAAAAGGCAAAAATAGACTAGATTAGAAAAGGAGATGGTAACAATCATTACTTTTATGCAGCTATCAAAGGTAGACAACATACCAACTGCCTTACCAATCTAAGAACAGAAGATGGCAGACACTTAACAACCAAACCAGATATTGAAGAGGAAGTGATCAAATTCTACAAAAACCTGATGGGAAAGGAGGTAGATTGCATAAACCACATTGATATTGAAGCCATGAGGATGGGAAAGCAACTTAACATGGAACAAAGGGAACACCTCACCAGACCCATTTCTGAAGCTGACATCGCAAAAGCCCTCAAGGGAATAGGAGACCTAAAAGCTCCAGGAATGGATGGCTATGGAGCCAAATTTTTCAAAGCTGGCTGGGAAACTGTTAAAACTGATGTGATTGCAGTAGTTCAGGAATATTTTGAAATAGGCAGAATTTACAAACCATTCAACAGTGATGTTGTTTCCCTGATTCCAAAAGACCACACTGCTTGTGAAATAAAAGACTACATACCTATAGTTATGTGTACCACCTTTTATAAAATCATCTCCAAAATCTTGACAGACAGATTAGGAGCTGTTCTTCACAGTGTGGTAAGCCATAATCAAGCAGCTTTTGTGCCAGGCCAAAACATCCATAATCACATCATGCTGTCAACTGAACTTATTAAGGGTTATAACAGGAAAGGGGGTACACCTAGGATCATGCTGCAAATTGATCTGCAGAAATCCTACGACATGGTGATTTGGACTGCTTTGAAATGTATCATGAAAGAAATGGGGTTCCCTAACAAATTCATTCATTGGATTATGCTAGGCATTACCACAGTGTCCTACAAATTTAACATAATGGGCGAGTACACTGATAGGTTGCAAGCCAAAAGAGGGATTCGACGGGGTGATCCCATATTCCCAATGCTCTTTGTCCTCATTATAGAATATATGAACAGGCTCCTGATGAAAATGCAAAAAGATCCAAATTTCAACTACCATGCCAAATGCGAGAAGCTGCAAATCACAAATCTCACCTTCGCAGACGATGTGTTGCTGTTTTGTAGAGGTGATGAAATATCTCTGCAAATGATGCTAAATACTTTCAATAAGTTCTCCAATTCCACAGGCCTGATTTTGAATCCAAGTAAGTGCAAAATCTATTGTGGGGGTCTGGATGTTGAAAGGCGGAAAACTTTGACAGAACTGTCAGGTTTTCATGAAGGATCACTTCCGTTCAAATATCTAGGGATCCCTTTATCTAGCTGGAAACTAAACATCAACCATTTTATGCCTTTGGTGGATAAAATTGTGGCTCGAATCCATCATTGGTCCTCGAGATTCCTTAGTTACGCAAGTAGAATCCAGCTAGTGAAAAGGATAACTGCTGCAATGGTCCAATATTGGATGCAATGCCTCCCTTTGCCTAAAGCTGTGATCAGGAAAATTGAATCTATCTGCCACAACTTCATCTAGACCGGCAAGAATGCAATTAGCAAAAAATGCCATGTGGCTTGGAATCGCACCTGCTGCTCGACTGCTCAGAGTGGGCTGAATCTGATGAACCTTTAGGTTTGGAACAGTGTGCTGCTCCTGAAATGCCTCTGGAATCTGTGCAACAAAACTGATAATTTGTGGGTTAAATGGATCCATATTCATTACCTGAAGGAAAATAGTGTGCTGAACTACGAAATCAAAGCTTACAATTCTTGGATTGTTTGTGGTATCTTGAAACAGCGTGATAACATGGAGTTTATCCGGAATGAATGGGACCAATTTATAATTACGCACAAGTTTAAAGCTTCGGTTATCTATAGGGTGCTGATTGATGATGGCACAAGGGTCCTATGAGGTAATTTGATTAAGTTCAACAAGGCCCGACCGCGTGCAGTGTTTTTCTTATGGAAAGCTTGTCATGGGAAGCTTGCGACCAAGGAGAGGCTGAAGTGGTTTGGGATGATTGAGGACAACAGCTGCAAACTGTGTCAGGCTGAGGATGAAACACTAAATCACCTTTTTTTCTCCTGTCAAGAGACTAAGAACATTTGGAAGGAAGTGTTTAATTGGTTTGACTTTTCTCATGACCCTCAACCATGGAATGCGGAACTGGTTTGGATCAGCAATAACACAAAGGGAAAGGGTTGGAAAGTCGAAGTTTTGAAGATGTGGGTAGCCGAAACCATCTACAACATCTGGGGATATAGGAATGGAAAAACTTTTGGAAATGTTGTAGATATTACAACCACGATTACTAACATCATAGATCATGTGATCTACCGAGGGTGGAACAACAGTAGGATTAGAAAACATCTTGTTAGTTTTATGATGTAATCTTAAGTCCTTTTTGTCGGTTGGATCCCCTTGGATCACCTTACGCTGTACTGATCGCCGATTTGAATTAATATACTTATTCCATTGATTCAAAAAAAAGGATCAAAGTGGTTAAACAACAGATATACTCATATTAAAACAGGATGGTTTAAAAGACTCAAAGTTTTCACAAACAACTACCTCAATATGTATTTATCAGACCAATCGACTCAGAATCAAAAAAAAATTCAAATTCCAAAAAATGACTAATGTGTGGATACTCTCATAAGAAGGAAAAGTAAACAATGAAAAAACATTTGGCTCAAACCTTACCAGTTGAGGTATTTGAAGCTTGAGCACAAGTCATCGATTTCCCTTATCTTCATCAACTTTTAATTTTCAAGAAACTTCACTGTTGATCTCTTTTTTATTCGTTCTTTTTCTGATGATTTCTCTTTTCTTTTTCATCATGACACTGGTAAGGTAGAAAATATTAAGTGAAAGAAAAAACAAAAGCAAACAAGTTCATTAATTATAAGCAAAGAGAAGTATTCATAAGATCTAGCTTGTACTCTTCCTTGGATCATAGTACCAAATGGAAATCCCTAAAATATCATTGTTGCACCTCAAATTTTGACCTCTTAGATCTTCATCATCGTTTTAAGATCATATCCATTTGATTATCTAACCTTAACCTATTTCAAGTTTGTC